GGAGAGAGAGAGAGAGAGGAGGAGCGAGAGAGAGGAGAGAGGAGAGAGAGAGAGAGGAGAGAGAGAGAGAGAGAGAGAGAGAGAGAGAGAGAGAGAGAGAATGTTATTCCCGAAAGACTCCGGAGGGGGGGGGGGGGGCTCGCAGCACCGCCCTTCTCGCGACCTCGGGCCGGCGCGCTGCACCACGCAGTCCGCCAGACTCAGCCGCGGGACGGAAGGCATCGGTTGGAGCTACACCAGCGGCCGCAACAGACCACGGCAAGGCCTCCGAGGACCGCGACAGTCCGGTAAGGTGGGGAGCTCAGGACGAGTTGGCTTTAGCAAGGTCCTTGCCGAACATTTCTCCGTTTGCTGTCTTCCCACTGGGAATGACGCCGTCAACACCGCACCACAAATTCATCACTCGGTGGGCTAATAAAACAACTTCATCTGGGTTGTGTCCATCGACGAAGCGCTTAAGATATTCGGTTGGGTGCGGGCTGTGCATTTTATCGCATTTTCAGCCATGACATTGACGCCGGTAAACATTGTGTCAAAAATCAACGATTCAAAATTTGCTTCATTTCGCCGTCTCTAAAGTATGGGATATTTGTTTTAAACGGCTTCATATGTGAGATGCAGGCGTTTGTGCCTGCTAGAAGCTATTCAGTTTGGCCAAATTTCGTGAGAGTGAAAAAACGACAAGTCACTTACTTTGCTCGAAGTCCACCTTCATTCGTGATGCTAGCGGCTTATGGTGCGCACTGATCGGAAATATTTTTTGAAGTGAGTTATAGTTTATGCCAGTGTAGAGTTGAGTGAACATGAGGTAAAACGTCATGGTACACGAAATGTGGGCATTGGAGAATGTTGAACAACGCGCACTGCGACTACATGGAATGGGATATCTAGTTTGCCACCAAACATTTTGGTACACCGAAATCGTACGCTTTTGTTCTTGAGTGTTAAGAGTTTCTTGAGCCCTTTTATTCTTAAGTTGCTCTTGATTGTTCTTGTCTGTTCTCAACTATTCAGCTGGTTAGTGATTGGGCTTCGGCCAAACGGAACAGAAATGCTTAACTTTTGAGATGCGGGCTTCTGGATTTATGGCTTATCAGATGCGCCAAGTGCATTCAACGCTGGTTTAAACACCTCCAGACATTTGTTTACGACGAACAGAGCGTCTGACTGCATTGGACCGAGCAACCAGCACTGGCGTGGTGCGGATTGTGCGACCACATGCAAATTAAAAGTGTGCTGTATTTTTGCCACAAATGTACCAATTTAGTGCGGGATACTTGGATCGTTGCGTTCCAACTTCTCCTGACCATGAACCACTTTTAGATTATGAAATAGTTCGGCTGGTACGCGGATCTGGAACGGACAACTTGCGTAATATCTGCTGTAGTAAAAAAAAAACAACAATGAATTGCCGGTTTGCCTCGTACTCTGGTGATTATTTCAGGTATATGACGAGGCCCATCACAAACCACCTTGTGACTTGTCAGGGAGCTCAATGCATTTACTGGAATCGGCAAGTTCCTGCACAACAGTGATTGCCTGCAAACAAATTCGTTCAACTAGCAGTTGCTGGCAATCGATCTGTAGCTAAATACCTCATTATCCAACACACTTTCCACATACAATCAAGATCTGCCCATCTCCCGGACACGCAGGACCGTCTACAGCATATCGACCGCCGCTAGGCGCTGCTGTGCAAGCACCGACAACTTCATATAAACAAACGCATATACTTCGCGTCGCGGCCGAGTACGAAATGGGAGTTCATTCCGGAGTAATTGGCTATGTAAAAACGGGCTCAGCGCAAGATATCTGGGGACGCAACGGCGGGTCCAGGCACAGAGAAGGTACGTTTAATCAGGTATCAATGTCGTATGAGAAGCCGTGCGCCTATGATAGGCCTCCTCTGGATTGGACGGACCAGGGCAAAGAACGGAGCGAAGTTGTATAAATCAGGACGCTGAGCCTTCAAAGGTACCGCCCTGACAGTCGAGGCAGGGCCAGCGGCACGGGTCGCAAGGCGCAATATCTTGCCACAGGTCAAGTGTGACGGGTGGGACTCAACTGCTTTGACAATGACATCATTAACGTCAATGCCCAATGCCGACGTCAGGAGGAGAAGACAAGCTTCAGACAGGATTGAAACGTCGAGCAGGACGGACAGACGTCAGGTAAGCATGCATCGGGCAGCCAATTCTAAAATCAGGCGGGAATGACAGACGCCAGCCAGGAATGACAAAGATCAGGCAAGGAATGATAAAGGTAAGGGAAGGATTGACAGACGTCAGACACGAATGCCAGATGTCAGAAGGCAGGCATACCGGGAAGACATTATAGACGTCAGACACCCGTTATGCAGGAATGGCGGGCGTTCGGCGTACATATGTGCGTGCCATTGAGGCTTTACGACGCACTCAGCTGCTGAGGTTATATGGCGTCGCCTGCCTCTCACCCTGGCGGGAAGGGCGGGCACCGCGGGGAATCGAACCCGTACCTCTGGGTTCCCAGACGCGTAGTTGTTAACGCAGACGCGTGAACCACTACACTACCGGCACCCTTCATATCGGCGTACATACATCAAGCGGGGGTCGCCGACTCCCGCTCCTGGACAAGAGCTCAAATGGAGCTAAAAGTCGAATGACAAAAATCAAACGAAGCCATCGGGCAAAATGGCTGAAGGCGATAGAACTCGAATCTTAAAAGTCTGAAAGACAAATAGTCGACAGGGATAAAGAAAGGAACGCATAGCGATAGGGATGAGTCAGATAAGTTCAGGTTGTCGCGTACACGTTTTTGCAGTAGAAGTAGGGTCGTATATAATGGCTGCATATCTTTTTGAAGTGCAAGTAATGACGAATATAAGTCACTCGTCACTCGTATAAGTCACGGTACAGCTTTTGTCGCGCATCAGCAGTGTCGTATTTAAGTAATGTCGTAGCACGTCTGTCGAAACGAGCTTTTGTTGTAGCAGAAATGTCTTGGAGCCGTCCCCACATCTGCTGGCCCTGGCCTAGCCCGATGGTCGTTAATTGATCAGAAGGCACACCGGCAAACTTGCAGCCTGGTGCCGTTGAATAATTCAGAATTAGGCTACCAATTGTTCCACGACTGTTGAAGGCCAATCCGCGGCGGCGCATCCTCTCGATCATATCCACCGCTGCCTGCCCTGCCGTAGGGAGGTTCTCGTGCCGGCATTGCCCAAGCACTGAATTCTGCTCGCGCCCGAGCATGAAGTTGGCGCCCGTGTTGAGAAATGTTGCAACGCGAGGAATCGCTGCGTGCCATGACATGAATGTGGGAAAATCATCATTGCTTTAAACGATCTGAACGGCGTCGTTTCCTGCCGCAGAGTTGGGCGGACCTCTCTCCGCCCCGCTGCGGTCCCTGATGGAGCCGACACGCGGCGCCCAGACGAGCCGGCCGTCCGCGGAGCCAGCCGACGCGGCCCGGCCCGACGGCGGCGCCGAGCACGGCGTGGAGAGCTTCGAGGACATTCTGCGGCTGACATGCGGCAGCGGCCGCTGGCAGACCGCGCTGCTGGCCTACATGTCGTTGATGTGGCTCATCCTGCCATTCTTCTCCATGTCGATGATGTTCATCGGCGCGACGCCGCCGTTCAAGTGCGCCGACGGCTTCGACGCGAACGCCACGTACGCCTCGCTGCCGGCCGCCGCCCAGCGCTGCCACTCACCCAACGCGAGCGCCGCCTGCCGACGCTGGGTGTTCGACCGGTCTGT